AGAAGCGCCTCACCAAGAACAAGAAGCCGCATTCGTTAACCGAAAGGTCCAAATCTGAGAGGCAAGCCTCGATAGCTGACACTAGCGTTTCCACATCAGTGGACAAGTCAAAGCCAAGCGGCAGTGGGAAGTAGCAGTGTTGGCTTGATTTTGCAAGCTCGGGTACACACGTAGGGAAATCTGCACATGTGAAGAAGCCAAGTTTGTGAAGATGAGATAGACAGTGACGCGCAGGACCCTCGGATAACATGTTAAATTCGTGTCCCAGGGAATTACGGAGATGCCCCAACGTGACGACCTCAAACTGATGTCGTGCTGCATCATTGTCATCTTGTATCGCCATATTTTCGCCAGGCACACGCAAGTCTGGCCAAGCACCTGACGGTGGACTTTGTACGTCGTGCGATGACTTGATGGTGGAGGAGACGTAAGCTAAAGTTGACCAATCAAACATGATCACCGAAGAGGATGGGTTGTGTTGGTTGGCCTCTAGATATTCACCGAGAGTCGCAGAGACTGGCAGCTTTCCAGAGGATAAGTAAGCTTCGTAAAGCTCAACCAGATATTGCAGCTCGAATGCCTTGGTTGGATCTTCATGACTGTCTGATGCTAGGACAAATGAACCGAGAGCAAGTCCATTGTTGTAGATTTGCAGCTGCGTCCAGAGCATGGCAGATGATACAGAGATATCCTCGAAACTCCGCTTCCCAAGGTCTTCGGAAGAGAGGAAGAGATCCCCGTAGTAATCTGAAAATGTGCGGCTGATGCTATCCAATGACATTGCCATGTGAACAGAGCTGATATCTACAGTTCCGCAGATTGCGAGGGGTCCATCGAGGCACGTGAGATGCATAAAAAGTTTGCATGACGTGCAGTGGAACGCCTGACTACCCCATATCGGCAGAAAACAATGAAAGCAAATGGGCAGGGTAAAGAGATTGACATGTCTGAAAATGTGTTGAGCTCTTTTCACAGTAACGAGGTCGGCGTCCTGCTTAGATGGAGGAATGAGGCAGAAACGGTGAACAGCCAACTTCCTTGTTGCCGAATCGGACACCGCGGCGTACTGATGATGAGCATTGCCTTCTGGGTAGTCGTAGCAATCGAAGTGCACGGCGCACATACACCCACAGCAGAGAAGTCCAAACCCTATGATGGGGGAGGCACATGATTGACAGGAATTTGAACAGGCTTCATCAAATGTCGATGGCCGCTGTGACTGAAGGAATCTCCATGGTACAAAATCGTGCGCGTAAAAAGCGCTTGATTGCAATGGAGGAGTGGGTATACTCCCCGACCAAGGTTGCTCCCCCTGATCAAGGACAGGCAGGGACTTGCTGAGGACGACATGCCCAAGAGCCCGTGGCCAAAAAGTTGCCAGCAAGCAAAGAGCAGCGCGGCGACTCTGAGGTACATGATATGCTATCACTTCCAATACATCCAAATATGAGTCTGGCTTAGAGTTGATTATGGTATCAAGCAGCCGGCATAAACTATACGTGGGTGGCAACGAAGTAATATCAATGTTTTCCAGAATGGCGGCCAATAGCGGAGCAGTTATAGAGGCCAGGTAATATACAGGCAAAGGCTGGAGAGGTGCATTTGTGGCCTGGATACAGGGATGACTCGCAGTATCGAGAGACGTCCGAGGCTGCCACAAAGCTGTCTGGTGAGATGAACTCTCTTCGTCGTCAAGGGCCATTTCAACTTGAATAGAAACAGGGTTTCCTTGGCCTTGACTAACAACAACTAGGTCTTTTGCTGTCAGTAAATTCCCTATCATCCTAAGTCATCTGACTGAACGTACCTGAAATATCTGTAGACACGTATCCCCTGATTCGATTGAGATCCTCAAACACCCCCCTGAGTATCACATTGTCGAAAAAGGACAGTAAACGTGGATGCATCTCACTTCGAAACGTCCCAAACGCAGGAAGAACCGCAAACGCAATATGGGATATTATTGATGGTTCGTTGGAGTGAACATGTGCGAGAAATTGGGCAATGTCAAGGCACACTGATTGTAGCGCGTTCGGAGGTTTCGATGGTCTGGGCGAAGAAATTTGAAAGCGACAGTCTTCCAATATCACTGAAGAAAGGATGGAGATGCACAACGTTATAAGCGAAGCAGCTTGCGGATGTCCCTTTGACGAAGGCGAACGAGATCTTGAGCGCCTTCCGCTAATGCTACTTCTTCTCATAGAGTTGCGAATGGTGAATGGTGATGGTTTGGTGGATTTTTCGGTATCTGTGCCCAGTCCAGAAGCTCTACGCAAGTTTCAGCGATGATTTGACTAGCACTGGAATAATGATTTCATACCCTTGGTCAAATACCTGCCAGCCCTGCGAAGCAGAAAATAGCAATACCTCTTTTAATTGAACCATGAGGTCGAAAGTAGTTTCAGAAGAGAAAACGTCATAGTCACTCCCTTCATCGTCACTATCCTCCTTCATGGATTGCAAGCGTTTGTGTGACTTCTGTTTAACTATATCGCGTACTGCTCCAAATATGTGACCACGACCTGCCTCAGTCGATGGAGTAGCATGAACATTTAGCGCATCGAAAATTGGGGGAGGACGCGTTCTGGAAGAAAGCTGGTCAAGAAGCAACCTTACCAGCTTTTTCGACTCCTCTCTGGCGTGATTCGCAGAGTCACGTTGCGACAGCGCCATTCTGGCTAATTGAGCTGAAGGAGAATATTTGTCTACATTGGGTGAAAGCGGGATGTAAAATGACGGTGAAGGAGTAAGGCTGGCGCTATTCGTCCCGCCAGGAGAGCCATCGTAATCTGACTTGATACGGGATGGAGGAGTGAGAGATTTAGTGTCAACGCGAAGCGATGGTGTCAATGGTTTCACTCGAGTCGGTGTGGCCATAGCAGCCTAGATTACTGATTGTCCCACTGCTAGGCCCGGGATGCAGTGACACAAGTTGAATTTCAAAGTGAATTGATTAGTCATCATAATATGGGTCCACAGCCACAGCATTAAGTACTTCAAGTTAGTTCCCCCTGGCAGATCGATCGACTGTATCTAAGCGCTCCATTCATAGACTACACGCACAGCTCGATGAAAGCCAGCAAATCATCATCTCCGAAGAGGATGAAGCAGAAAACTTTAGGCGATTTTCTATTTCCATCCTCTCCACCTCCAATCTCTCCGCCAGCACCTGTTAAGAAGAGACAGGTGAAGCAAAAGCACAAGGTTATCGCTCTTGACTCGGACACATGTGATGATCTGGAACAGGATAGCGATGTCGGCGCTATAAAGTTTGAACCGCAAGTCATTGATGTCAGCGATGAAGACGATTCTCCACGCCGACCGAGTGCTAGACGGTTCAAGAAATCCCTTGTTGTCACAGACAGTCTGCCAGATGTGGCAGCCAGTGATAACTCGCTGGAGGATCATATTGGAATACCTATTGCTTGGAAAGGAAGCAAGAACGGGAAGAGGAAGAAGCGAAAAGCAATAGCAGATTCTGACGATGAATCTCAACCGCGCAAACGAAAGTTGATCAAGGGCGCCAGACCTCCAAGTCCTGAAGGAAGTGTTATCGATGAAGTCGATGAGAATGGTAAGCACTGTCTACTTTTCTCCTTGCGGTGCTACACCTGTTTTTACAGACATCATTGAGTCGCGTCTTCGCGCTCGCGACAAGAAAACAACATTTCAAAGACGTCTTGAGAAGTTGAAGAGTGGGTCAATACCCATGACTCGTGAAATCTCATCTCATCTCATCTTCTGTAAGGTTTCAGGGGCAAGAAACGCTCAGAGATAACCCTTGAGCTTGATTCAGAATCCTCAGAGTCAGACGCCGAGCCACAGGAAGGTCCGGTGGTGCGACCCTTCAAGGGTGCGCGACCAGATCGTGGTCATGAATCTAAGTCCTCTAGCGGGGAACATGAAAAGACAGATGAAGATGACGATTTTATCGTGGAAGATGACGAGCATGGTGTTTTGACTACGCAACTACCCATCGCTTTTAGCATGAACACCCATCAAGATCTCGCCCATCAATTCAAGATCGTCTGCCAGCTATTTGTTCACATGGCTGTTCGTTTTCCTCCTGACAGACGCCCATTTATGAAGAAAATGTTGGAAAGTATGCATGTTCATTGTCATTAGACGGACTGCGCTAATATGGACTGCAGCGGAGGAATATTTCTCTGTCCCACTTCAGGTAGCACGACGGAAATTATCTGGGATGAAAGACTCTTTGGTCACATCCTCTGTCTGGAAACCTCAATTCAAGAGGCCTCTCGAAAGATACCCCAAATTCGAATTAGTGCGAATGAAGTTTAGCGCTCCTCAGTGCGATGCTTGCAATCTAGGTGGGAGAATATCCACACTAATCGGCCGAGTGAGCGGCAAGCCATATGACAAATACGATTTCGAGGTATGTTTTAGCTCGTCCAATTGTATTTTATACAACTGATTGCGAGTAGCCCGAGCCAGAAGACGAGTCATCGAGTTCATCAGACAACAAGTCATTGTCTCCATCAGGCACTGATTCTGATGATATGATTAGTCACAAATCTTCTGGCAAACAATTTTATCTCGGCCGCTTCTGCGCTGCTCGAACACGAGTTTTCCACGAGTTCAGTCACTGGGAGGTAGGATGTCTTTGAAGTATTTTGTTCATTGCTTGACGACTTTGAAACTAGTATCACTTGTATCACTCTTTGTTGGAGCAGATCGACGAAGTTCTCGATGGCAATCGTGGTTTTGTGCGAATCGCTTTTGCGGGGGGGTTGGAACCTCCCAAAGATATGCGAGACGCAGATAAAGTGATGGACTGGCTTGATCAGCGTGGATTAATTGAGTTCGAGTGGCAGAGAGTTCGGGAGTTGATGGATAGAGCCAGAAATCTCGAAATACGTGCAAAGAGAGGAGGCGATCAGGACGACCAGGATATGTAATCTATGTCAATATTCATTATCTTTGTTCACACTATAATTTGTACCATTGCCTACTTGAATCCTACGTACAGCCAGGACTAGGGGCAGCACACAAAATAGGAATGTGTCCCACGGCTTGTCCTTTGCATCCTAAGTTGTGAACAAACGCGCTCAATGTTCATGTCGTACTCACATTACCAGCCGGGGCAGCATCCAGCGGGGACAACATATCCGTATTATCACCCAGGTGCACCAGGCGCATATGCTCACCCTCAGACTCCAGGCTATCCAGCCTACCACCAAGGCTACGCCACAGGTGTGACTGGCTACGGCGCATGGCCATATCCATACACCTATATCCCACAGCAGCCTGCCCAAGCTCCTTCTCAACAGGCAGCACGGCCCACAGTACAGACAACGGCGCCGCCTGCCGTAACCCCTACCCCCACTCCAGTCGTTGCCACCCCGAAGACGACCACATTTACATCCTATACCCCAACCTACGCCCGAGAAACTGCTCCTGCTGCCACAACAGGTGGAGGTACTGGGCGCAGTAGAAAACAGGCGAATTTCAAGGGCCTTTTTTCCAAAGAACGTGCGTTCTGTTAGATCTTTTCCATCGAATTCTTTCCAGCCAGATTTCTCCAGTGAAAAACCTCATGTATGGTTTCGGCGATGATCGTAATCCCGCCAATGACACAGTCAACGTCATGGAAGAAATACTTGTCGAGTTCATTGCAGATATTGTACGTGTCTCCGTTTCTTGGTATTGCGTTATACAGACATGTGAGTGCCGAAACTCAAACAAAACATTACTTGGGGCAGTGTCAAACTGCTGGTGGTCCACAACGGAAAACACGATTGTCTATTGAAGACCTTCGTCGAGCTTTGTCGAGGTTGGCAGATGCGAAAAAGCTCGCTCGTATGGAGGAATTGTTATTCATGCAGGAGGATATTAAGCGTGCTCGGGCTCAGTTCGAGGAATCTGACATCACGCAGTCAAAGGAGTACTAGGGAAATCACTGTAGTAACGCTGTCTTATTCTTTACATCATTGTTCTACATCTGTATTTTTTATATCTTGACACTGCAGACCCATTCGCCGATGCCAACATTACATTGTTTCCGATCCCGCAACATGACTTTCTTGCGGGCATGAGGGAGGAAGCTGTCGAGACTAACAAGGTGGTGGGGTTTCGCTAAAACAGTTCGTTCCACTTGTCATGGAAATGGCGACTAAGTCAGCATGGCCCGGCTACTCTTCCATTGCATCCGGCTCTTCATTGTTGGCTTGCTCTTCGGCTTCTCCAGAAGGAGCTCGCTGGGCCGTACGACCTTGCACACCTAGGGAACGTCAGTGATACATTACGAACATTCGCAAAGTTGCTAACCTCCACTTTGTGCTAATGGCTTCGCGAACTCTTGCAGCCATTCTTCTGACTCCCAGACTGTTGGAAGGAAAGACTGAGAGGATGTCAGTAATTTGTCGAAATAGTACGTACTAGCTCTATTCCCATCTGGAGGTTGCAAGCTTTTCATAGGCTTGGCTTGGTTGACTTTCAGCACCCTGCCCCGTAACTCATTGAGATCCATGTTGTCGATTGCATCCTGAGCATCTGCAGGAGAAGAATATGTCACGAATGCAAAACCACGATGTTTGATTTCTATAGATAATCAGTATATGAACAATTTTTCATAATTGTCCGCTTGCCTGTCGGCTTTGATGGATTGGCTGGTGCTGGAGGTAGCTGTACTTCAATGATGTCACCTGGGATTTCGAAACGTTTAGTGTGGAGTTGTCGCAAAACAGAACACTCACCAAAAGCCGCAAAATGCTCGTAGATCACCGTCTCATCAACATCATCCCCAATCCCCCCAATGAAAATGGTCTTCTTACCCTTGGTGCCTTCTTCCATCGACTAGTACTAACAGTTTGGTGTTGGGCTAAAAATATTGTTATTCAATTGCTTAGTCAACGGCTTCAGAATTCAATATAAGTAAATAGCTCTAACTTTAGCGTCATGTAAGACATCCGCCCATCCGTCATCCGTCACATCCGAGGATGTCGCCACACTTAAAGGCGATGGCCTTCACTTCCTTCATCTATACGTCCTTATTCACAAACGATGATGCAGAACATCGATAATATGTCATTCTGGGGATCGCACTCCACTTTACTGTCCCTCTATCATTTCCTTTGGCAACAACAAAACCAGTCTGTTGTGAAGCGAGGGTTGAAATGTTATGCTATAGATTCGGAGGGATCCAATGGGTTAGTTTATCTCCCTTCTTTTGGTTTTGGAATGATATTGAGGCTAATACAGGGTGTACCCACTCACCTTCGACGCTATTGATCTATCTGGATGCCCTGGTGCCGAGTTACCAAACGGAGCAACTTCCATGCTCATCCGTTCAGAGTATGAATCACTCTTTGAAAACATCTCCGGAATCGAGCGCAATTTCGTAGTGCATGGATCAGCAGGCATTGGTAAGTCGAATTCCTTCCAGAGGCACTGCTGCTCAATACAACTGACCATCCTTAGGAAAGACACATTTCTTAGCATATCTCCTCGTCAAACGACTTCTTGCTCGTCAACCGGTGACGTATCAAATTGACCAACTACACTCATCCGTCATGTGCTTCACCGCGGACGGGTTCTTCACCCTCCCGCAGGAGAGCAGCGAGTATCACCCACTGTTCCAACGCGAAGACGTGTGGCACCTTGTCGACAGCACACATGAAGATCCCACCACGCACCCAAACACTGCACACACTCAGGCGTTGATGTGGGGCACGTGCGGCAAGGCCATCTTCACCACGTTTTGGCCGGACAGTCTGGGCTTCAAAATTGACTGGTCACCTGGGTATGAAGTTTCTCTTCAACGGTGGATGAAACCATGTACTTGGGACGAGATCGTTGCGATGAGGTAAAATATCATGTTAGTGTTCTTCATAACGACTGACCAATTTCCCTTAGTGCTCTTACTGCAAATAAGCACGAAAAGCACGATCCAGAGGCCCTGCGATGGTCCTACACCCATTTCGGGTCCAACGCGCACGTCTGCATACAAGTGTCTCGCCATCCCGGCCACGCTGAATATTACCTCAACGAGCTGGAGTGCGCTCGCGATAATTTCTGGTTCCAGCATCCCATATTGCGCGAACATGAAGCTCTATTCAACCGTAACCTATTCGCCGTACAACCCGGAGATACCCGCACAGAGCCACTGCCCTATCCGGTCTCACAGGTTGCCAGCAGGCTCCTCGCAGACGGCATCGCTTCCTTAGACCCTTCCACTGCTAAGGACGCTGTCTGCAACCTGCTTAACTCAGAGGACACCGAGGAGTCGGGCAAGATATTCTATCGTCAGGCTGCAATAGCTCTTATGTCCAGGTTCGGAGGGGCCTTCGAGCTCGGATGTCCCGACTCACAGGGGCATTGTCAGCCAGCACACAAAGACCTAAACTTGTGTGCCAAGCTTGACCTCGTGAATAAGGAAGAGCGGGCTATACTGCTTTCAAGCTATTCATACTCTACCCAAGGCGAACTTGCAGCGCTAGCGAAGAATTATCCGCACGTTCTTCACTCCCCAAAGCATGCGCTCGTGCACCCAGGCATTGATGCAATCATGTTCGACGATAGCACCTCCACAGTCTGGCTTATGCAGGTGACGTATGGACACCCGCGCCCGATATCTCCCCAGGGTCTGCTCTTCCTGCTCAGTGCTGCAAGAGGCACCGCCTACGAGCCATCCCCCATTCGCCCCTGGAATCTTGTATTCGTATCCCGCGAGCAGCCAACTACAGACCCCTTCCAGCTAAGTGGGTCGAAAAAGACACAGTTTTTTTACTCTGTATTCTGGGACCCACGCATCAAACCATACGTCATGCAACTTCGTGATGCAGACAGCTCTTCAAGTGACCCGTACGAGCAGTGGGGTTTCCCTTACAAGATCCCACGGAAGCATTCGCTCAGCCTCTCACGGCGCCTCGCAAATCGACTGGTGGATCTGCTACATAGGCCTCGGCGGGAAACTGTACTAGACAGTGCAGATCAAGTGACTGCAAGGCTCTGGAGTACGACCATACAGACGTCGGGGGTGCCGGGAGCTCAGTTGCTTGGGGAGATGACGAGAGAGCAGCCGGTTGGCCCCAATGGATTTCATACACGAATTCCTATGAGTAACACAGAGGAAGACTAATGAGTTTATCACGATCTTGTAGAAATGTTCAATACACTTGGAAATTGTTGGAATTATACTCTACGTGCAAGCATCACCTGTTAAATTCAGCGCGCGCGACACTCGGAGTTGTTAGTCGGCACTGGTCGGTTCGCGTGTGATATACATGATGACGTATTGATCAAATTTGTAATATAAATCTGAGACTCATCGATTTTATGTAACTGAGCGACTCAGTAGTAGGTACTAGTACACTACTTCTTAACTGCTCTTGGTAGTACATTCCCCAGCCACCTATTACTTCCTATCACACCTGCCATCAAAGCGTGTTTGATATCTGGCGGCGCATCATTCTAATTCACGAAATGGGGCTACCACTAGGTGAAAACACTGCCTAATTAGATGCGGTTACAACATAATTTGTTCTTTGTAGATCGTGCAGGTGTCATGTAATGGACGGATTTGTGGTGTGGAGTCACACCTCCTTCATCGGCCTGAGAAGATATATCCTCGAAAATTCAATCATGTTGACCCTATTCCCCTGCAATCATCGCACGCCCATCTCTTTTGGCAACAGTTTCTTGTCGCTTGTTTTCGATGGTGCCCGTCGAGCCGTTCTTCTCGTGGAATGCCAATTGGCATGCCGTGTTCCGTCAGGGCCACGCAGACAACCGCAAGTCGTCTTATATCACCCACGACATTGAGATTTAATACTGCATGCACATCAGTGATGCATTATTCGACACTTCCCTGTGGGTATTCAAGTTCACGACGGTTGCAATCTCTTATCCTTAATTCGATCTCCATTATCTCTGACCATGGCTTCATCCACTGAATGGGACCTTGAATCCCTGGCGTCCAGCACATCCTCGTCTCCATCTTCCTGCGACGAAGATGAAGTCAACGCTCGTGTTTCCCCTGACTGGGCGAAATACCGCTGTCACATCGAACGCAGGGGCTATCGTCTGGACACCGTCCGTGATGTAAAAGATCATTATCGGCACCATTGCAGCAACATAGAGAAGCAAGGGCTGCACGTATATTTGTCCGGCTATCACCGCGCCCTTGCCAGGAGCGACGAAGATGCTCTTTGCAAAGATGTTGGTCTGGTAGGTCTACTAGCAAGCTGTTAGGTGTCATGCGTGATTTCACTGATCAAACTAGCGAGAAAGCCTATTCAGAGCCACCCGTTGTCTTGATGGGATGAAGGTGATGGTCAAAGCAGTCCATCGTGATAGCAGGGAGCTTGATATCGTCCGGTATCTGTCTGCGCCAGCTCAACAATGTGATCCCATGAATCACTGTATACGTAAGCTTCCCAAGCAAATAGTTGAATTCTATTCACCATCGAAAAATCCAGCTATTCTTGACCTCATCGATGCACCCCAGGATAATCTGTGTTTCATCGTTATGGAGGAATGGTCAGCAAATATGTTCCCAGAAGCTCCAATTAGTCTCGGCTGCCTCATGGAATCTTTGCGCCATTGCATAGAGGTATGGAAAGGATTTGTCGAGTGTGTATACCATACTAAAAAGGGCCCCTCCAGCATATCACATTCATGCATCGTCATCGCATCGCACACTTTGACATCTCGCCGCGCAACTTCCTCACGGATTATAACGGACGTTATGCTTGCATAGATTACGAGCTCAGTCGCCGAATAGATGAGGTATCTTGTCCGCGGATATTATACCCTCGGGGGTCGGAGATCCCACCAGAAACTGAACATGGCCGGCTAAGCAACCCGTTTATGATCGATGTATGGGCACTAGGGGTTCTCACTTTCAGAGCGTGCGAGGTTCGTACTATAGCAGACTACTTCCCACGGAGCTATGACTGACGCGGACCCATGACTCAAATAGCTCGCTGAGTTTCGCGTTGCCGAACTTATGCATCTAGCCAAATCGATGCTTCATGAAAACCCTGACAAGCGGCCACCGGCCCTTTCAGTGCTGAAGGAATTTCAACGAATACAGGCGACGATGAGAAAAACACTACATGGCCATCACATCTCTTCCTAGCACGCTATTCTTTAGTCACATTTGGATTTAACATCAGACTCGGCATTAAACATTCATTAGTTGACATCGGGCAGGGGTAATAGTCACAAGTATGTAGTACTATCGTATATAAGCACTTCAAAAACCATCTCTACGCTTATGATATCGGATCATCACTTCCACTAGCTACCACCGCTTCCTCTTCCAATTTCCGCCTTTTTCTTGCTAGGTAACGTGCACGGATGTTCTGCACGTCTTCTTGTGTATTCCGCTTTAATATTGTTCGCTGTCTTGCCTCTTCCTCATGAGCCTCTTTCTGCTTTGACACTCGTTCACGCTCCTCTTCTAGTTGTTGCTTGATTTCCCGTGCGCGGCGTTCATTTATTTCTCTCCGGCTGGCTGCTGTTCCTACTGCCTGGTGAGCTTGGACTTCACTCGAGCTGGAAGTTTGTTTCGTGATCTGGAGCCCAAGTCGTCGGGTGTTGGGAGCAGACAAGTTTAAGCCAGCAGAGAGCAATTCTCGCTTGTCGACAATTTGGTTGTCGTCGTTGAGTTCAACATCTTTGCCTTGTTCTTTAGCTAATTGCGCAAGCTCAAGATCTGATTTTGGTGTCAGTTCCGGAGGCTTGGTGATAGTTAGATTCGGAACAGGTCCTCGTGGACCAATGACGCGTTTAGTCTCTGTTGCCGCCACTGCCTCTTCGTGTTGTTGCTCTGACTCTTCCAGGAGTTTACGGTAGAAATGAGCCATGCCAGTCGGTGCTCCCTTCTGTTTCTTTTTCTCAGCCTCTAAACCAGAAATCAATAGTAGGTTGTTATCATCGCAATTAAACATACCTTCTCTTTGTCGTTCTTCTTCCTCCGCTCTCCGGACTTCAGCCATTTGATCCTTGTATGCCTGAGTGACGAAGGCCTCCTTGTCTGCGAATTCGTCTCCCTCGGCTTCCCGTTCTCGTTGCATCATCTTCTCCTCTGCACGCAAATGATCCAGACGTCGTGTGGCAGCCGTCGTTAGAAGGCCTTCGATGTACTTGGGCTATACATTGTTGATAAAATGGTTCCAGCGGCACGGATAATTAAAAACGTACCTTTCGTTGTTTGGAATCGACCTCTTTCGCCTCTTTCTGCTTGAGTTTAACCTCTTGCATCCTATCCCAAACTTCATCATACTGATACACCGTGGCATCAACCTTCATCTCTTGCTCCATGCGTTTCCTCGCAGCCTTCGAAGATTCGACATTCTGAGCTAATAGCTTTTTGTTCGCTGCTGCGCCCTTATTATCGGATAGGGTGGGAGCAGCATCCACAGGGTCATCATCACCAAGTGATGCGAACGCTGCCGGTTTCTTCAGAGGTGGTGCCGCACCGACTGGCTTTGCGGTCTTGGGGAGGGAAAAGGAGAGCTTCATGAAATGCTGGGTTATGTAAGCATGTTAGAGTTGTTTGATAAACTTGTTCCTTCGACTTGAATGCAACGTTATGGCACAAAGTGTGAACGACCGCCGGCGGATAAATGGACCAGAAGAAAGCTTTCCGCCCGTATTCGATGATGAGGATGATGATGAATTCAAGTTGAAAACGCAGCGCAAACGGGGACCTGGTGATATCAGGCCGATATGTCGGTGCCTTCTCTGCGTTTTTGTTAAATGGTGCTGAATTTTCGGACAGTCCTCCAGCCAGGTCTTATAAGCCAGGCCAATGGATCTGCATATATCGAAACAGAAAAAACCAAAATTGCATGCGCTGTGTACGTTCGGAATCACTTTAGCCTTCATCAGGCCCATCTTTTCTAAGTACCGTCATAGGTATGGACCACGGCAGTCTAAAACTACTACCTACAGCGAAAAGGGTCGGCTGAATGTCGAAGTCAAGTTTGCCCCTTTCTCGTGTACGCGTCGAAGGGCACCGATGCGCGTAAGTTATGCCTACCCCATGCACTTAACGTATTGAATGTCATAGGCTCCTCAAGGACGCCGAGGATAGATCTATTGGTGTATCAATACATCAAGCAATCGTATCATCAATACGCTTGGAGTTATTCCCAAAGTCGACCATTGATGTGTTCATCACGATCATCGAGAACGATGGAATTGAAGGCTGTATCGCATCTGGGTCATTGGCTGCAAGCACTGCACTTGCTGATGCCGGAATTGAAATGTTGGGGCTCGTTGCATCATGCTCCGCTGTACGTGATTCTATTTTCCGTTTATAATTAAGCTTATATTTGGTCAGGCTATTGTCGGAGACGGCATTCAACTTGATCCAACCGAAGCTGAAGCACGGGCCTCCAGCGGCACTGTGATACTTGCTTGTATGCCGGCTTTGGATAGTATCACCAGTATCTGGCAGTCGGGACAGATGTCCGCTGACTTGTCTTTGAAGGTAATAATTTCCGATCAACCACAGCAAATGCTAACGAGGTACCACAGTGCATGGAACAATGTTATGAGCGGTGTAATGATATTCATTCGATAGTCGCGCAGTCTCTACTTGAACACAGGAAAACCGATTGACATCGCTTTCGGTCTCCGAGGTGCATTATCACTTTTCACACATCAACGTTGGCCGTTGTACATGATATTGGAACATACTTGTCAGGACGACGTCTGATTTTCAATTTTTAACTACTGAACAAGAACAAGAAAAGTTCCAAGCCTTTCGTTTGTCCCATGCCCATGTAGTATTAACCGACGACATACAAGTGTTCGAACTAGCACACCCACTGGTGGATTTTTTCTTGAGGTCCTTCACGCGCAATCCTCTTCGAAGTTCGGCAATATAATAAAGTTGTTACTTGTTGTGACGAATATTTGGATTATATGTGAGATTCTCGGGTCTATCATAGTACACGCGTCACGTCTACACGAGTTAACGAGAATTGTTTATTCCACGAGCTTGTGGTCCTTTCTCAACCGCGAACAGGTCTGAAAGTTTCACGACTTGTTTTAGACAGCCGTTTTTCCTATTCCCACTCACTAACAGCCGAACCTTCGTTTGATGCCGGAGTTGTTCTACGACAATGATCTTTCCCCACCCGCCTCTCTCAAATCATCGGGGGAGCACCACCATCTCACCTTTGTTTCAGCACGCGCTTCTCATGACTCGTCAGACTCCCTACGGAACCTGGAGCTCTCGGAGGGACCTATTGCAGAGAGAGGGCGGTCAAGATCCTACTCGCTGACGGGCTTTGACTTCCAGCGCGACCTATTACCCTTGAGCTCGAGTTTAAGTGAACCGGATACTACATCTTTCGGAGAAAGTGGAGAGAAAAATATCACATTGCTACATGGTAAGTTATCTTGCTGGCAACATAGCGCGATATAAGCGGTTCACAGTGCACAAAAGGGATTGGACTCATCGTCGGCCTTCAAGTCAGTTCATTCATTTAATTTTATACGCGCATGTCTGATATATTCTCTCAAAGATTGGATCAGGAATCTTGTGAGTAGACCAACCAGACAGGCTCAAACCCCAATCTGCAACTGTTAGTTAGTTCTTCACCAGGAGTCGTAGTTGCGAATACCCAGAGTGTGGGGGCTAGCTTGCTTGTATGGCTTGTTTCTGGATTGCTTGGTTGGACAGGAGCCAGCAGCTTTGCAGAACTAGGGTTCGTCTATTCCACGTGTCATGTTATTGGCGATTGATAAACACCTTGGGTTATAGCTCCAGCATACCATTGAATGGTGGAGCCCAGGCCTATCTCGCGTATGCGTACGGACCACTTGTATCCTACCTGTTTGCATGGACAGCGATCTCAGCACTGAAACCTGGTTTGTCTTCTACCTGACTTTCAGTGAGATTGTTAGATATACATCCAGTTGCATTACAGGTGGAAATGCGGTCATTAGTCTCATATTTGCAGAATACCTGAACCGACTCGTATGGCACGCTGCTCAGGACGAGGTAGCACCAGATGATATGCCCCAATGGGCCATCAAACTCACTGCGGTGGCAGCAGTACTCGGCGTTTCCATGATCTGCGCAGGTACGCGGAATTTGGGCACTAGGGCTTCTGTGGTGTTCACTACAGTGAAGGTATGTTTGTTATTAGTTGATATCGTTTCTATCTAATAACGGCCCGACCTGAGGTCGCCGCCCTCGTGAGTGCTATAATACAAGTACTGAGTCGAGACTCATGCCTCGTCAGATATTTGTGATCGTACTAGGGATGATACAACTTATTCGGGGGAAAGCATCAGAATCGTTCTCTCAACCTTTATTCGAGGACTCGAGCCACAGTCCGTCGGCATATTCATTAGCTCTTTACTCTGGGCTATGGGCATTCGATGGATGGGATCAGGCCAACTATGTCGGAGGTGAAATGAAGAATCCCGGCAAAGATATCCCAAGAGCTATACATTCAAGTATGGCGGTCGTGATGGTAAGCAACAGAGGTACCATTTGAGATGTATGGACATTGAGCCCTTTCAGACTACTTTTCTTATTAGCGAATGTGTCATATTTCGTGGTACTAGACAAAGTCACTGTTGGTATGAGCAACACGGTTGCCTTGGACTTTGGCCGAGCACTCTTTGGACCAGCAGGCGGTGTGCTTTTTGCTGTGATGGTTGCCATCTCTTGCTTCGGAGCGTTGAATGGTAGACAGTCCCTGCATAATTTTCAGGTACTCTTACTTATCACCTACTACAGGGAGTACCTTCACTTCTGCGCGCCTTATTTGTGTTGCCGGACGAGAGGGATACCTTCCTGCAATGTTTGGTCGTTTGAACAAGTCGAGGCAAACACCAGTCAATGCGATCCTCCTCCAAGCAACTATCACTATTGTGTTCATCATGTTGGGAGGTGGGTTTCGGTCGCTGATCAACTTCTCCGTTGTGGCGTCCTGGTCATTTTTCTTCCTTACTGTACGTTTGGGCGCTCCACGTGTGCCATCATGATCTGATCTGGTTTTTTTTAAGGTTCTAGGGCTTGTTATACTTCGTGTGAAGGAACCAATGCTAGAAAGGTGAGTCGTCGGCACCCAATGTGCTACGGAGTTGAAATTAATCTCGAGATCAGACCCTATAGAACATGGATTGTGACACCGCTAGTGTTTTGTGCTGTAAGGTTTATAGTTACTTCCAGATGGATATCGGCTAACACAAAACGACAGGTTGCGCTATTTTTGTTGTGCATGCCAATTATCGCAGCACCACTAGAAGCTATGGCAGTTTTAGGTGATTGATGAGTCCTGCTATAACGAATGGAGCTTCTGATTTCGTCACATCTGCAGGGTTCGTGATGGCAGGGATACCGGTGTACTATTTGACGAATCCGAATCGTGATCAAGCCAGTTTGCCTGCCTTTCTTGGTGAGTGACTAGTTTACGCTGACATCAAATGATGACATCGATGTGTTCCGAAATCAGGCTTTTTCAGTACTTGCATTGCTAGAATTAGAGGGCAGACGTCCGCGGGCACGGGGTGGGTAGCGGTGGCCACGGAGGGTGACGAGGTGGAGATGCTTGATAATCAGACATGAAAGCTTGACGCTCAAACGTTGTGCCGCACGATCTGATACATGATATTGACTGGCACTTCTTGTGTGCACACGACGGATGTCTGTTTTGGGAGTACTAGATATGCTGGCTATGTAGGTACCGCACGGGAGATTTAGGACACATGTCGGCAAGCTCCGTCGAGCAGTGTCAGCGGGTGACGACAGCGCGATTTGGGCTGAGTCGTTGTATATAAGAGCCTTTCGGTTGTGAAACAAGCCACATCATCCATCGACGAGCCTTCATCTGTATATAATTCTTATCTATCTATAACATCAAGTATGGCAAGCGAAGTTGCTGAGCACAAGTATCAACTTAATGTCAAGGTCTGTTGCCGATAGATCTGCCTGTCAGTATGATATGAACTGCTGATTGCATAGATGACTTGTGGGGGTTGTTCTGGAGCTGTTACTCGTGTACTGACCAAGGCGCAGCAAGAAGGTGAGATGGTTATAATGAATGACTAGTGCAAGGCTGAGTGAATGAAATACATTAATAGGATCGGTTTCAAGTTTTAATGTCGACTTGGGGACGCAGCTCGTGAACGTCACAGGTCCTATCGAAGAATCCGCTCTGGTAGAGAAGATTCGGAAGACGGGTAAGCAGGTAAGGCGCATATCATGGTCTTCTGGACCTGGGATAACTTATCGAGTGTTCTAGATTATCTCGGTTACGTCTCTGGATGACTCGGTGGCCGAAGTGGCAGCGGTTTGAGTAATCACAGGAGGTGTTTCATGCCCGTTACTTATTTTTGTCTTATTACCCTGGTGATTATTATATATAGAGGTTTGTCCGTCACGTGGCAAGGTGAAACGGAAGTTACTGGGTGAACTATTAGGCCTTGGGCTCTGTCGTCATGCCATATCTAACTTCCAGATACATGGGGTGGTAAGTTACTCGGTAGGTGTACACGTGAATGATGACGTGACGGTTTGCGGAACCGTATCTGGTTTGAACCGCGATACATTATTTAACACGAGTCTGTGAAAGACTAGAATCAGGCTTCTGACCGAGTAATACCGGGTTCTACTTTCACTACCATGACTCACACTCCTTTCTTTGCTATCCTCTTGTAAGCTTGGTCTAAATCCCTTACCCGCTTCCGAGCTAATTCCCTTCGGTCCTCATCCCGAGTCATCTCTCCTTTAAACCTAATCTTTATCTTCTTTCACTTCCAACCCTGCCTACGAAGCTGCCAATTAGGAGGAGTCTGCCGCCAACTTCATGGCCTCGGCTAGTGTTGCGACAGCGTCCAGCACCACGCTTCCTACTGATCCTACCACCCCTGCATTCTCAGACGACCTTGAATGGATCACGGCATATCTTACAATTCACTCCCTTAGTATCCCTAGTCGGCGCTATTCCTTTCTTATCTGGATTGTTGTCGTTTTATTTTTTCTTGCCTTCGCCATCCTGCACTGGACGGGTTCAAGGGGTGGTTTCCTCGGAGCCCATTGGACAAAATGGACTCTCCGCCGACGAACTTGGAGAAAGAAATACAACATCGCATTTGCTCTCAAAAACGACCATTCACACCGTCAGCCCAATTCTTTGCCTTCCAATGCTCAACTTCTTTGTTTGGCACTACTCTTGGGAGGTTCCCTAGCCCTTGCATTTGTCGGCCCAGACTATATTTCTCCGACTCTCAAGGTGTGGCAGGTTCGCCGAGACATTCCCTTCGTAGAGCCCCAGCGTCGTAATTTTATTCCCAACATCGCCCCCTATTTACCACTTCAACCACAATATACTATCGATAAAGCATGGTGGACTTCATCAGCACGCACAGGGCAAATTGCATTCGCTCTCCTTCCTCTTTGCGTGCTTTTTGCCCTCAAAGCGCCCCCTTTCGCAATCTTTGCCATTCCTTTCATGATACAGTTCTTCTTCGACAAGCTCGCTTGGCTTCACCGCTGGACAGGCAGGCTAATATGGTTTCTTACATCAATTCATGTTGCGTTCTGGAGCGTTCAACTCGCCCAAGACCATAATCCCAGTACTGGTCGTGTCGCTTACGTGTACGCTTTCTCCTACATGCCCTTCATATTTGGCTGGGTCGTGAGTCGGATTTCTCTTTCATGCTGAGAGTCTGATGAATTATCTAGGCGTTTGCATTGCTGACATCCATAATCGTTCTGTCCATGAACTCCATTCGAAGAAACTTCTATGAAGCCTTCTATTTCTTGCATGTTTTGCTTGTCCCACTTATGCTCACCTCTGCTGCATTCCATCATCCTACACTCTGGTGGTGGTGTTGGGGTGCTCTCGCAATTTGGGCAGGTGAACGCCTTTGGCGGTGGACGTGGTGGTTTGCCGCAAACACTTCCATTCTAGGTAGCAGTTCGTCATCTAAGCGCTTGCATCCTGCAATAAGTACTGCTGACACGCTTGAGACGGAATATCTTCGTCTCCAGTCACTTGATTTGCAATCTTTCCGTCCACCGAGCTCTTTGAACCCACATTATCAGTCTGACAAACACACAGTCGGTCCACATTCATCATTGCTGCCCATTCGTCTACCCACTGGATCGCTCGAACTGGATACTGCTAGGCCCACAATACATCATCCCTCTCCGTATATTCCTCCTCCAGGGTATGCCCACGCTGAGCTTCTCTCCGGGCATACAGTGCGGTTGCGTCTTATAACCCCCGGATTTCTACCCTGGGCTCCGGGTCAACATTTCCTCATCAAAATCCCCAGCGTCTCCCGATTCACTACCCATCCTTTCACCTGTGCTTCTATATGTGACTATGAGTCACCTACAGATGAGGGCCGCTTGATAGTCATGCTCATCCGTACAAGGAACGGCTGGACTCAAGATTTATGGGATTTGGTTTCCCGTATGACCGCTGAGCATTCACCTGGTGACACACCAATTTGCGCTGCAGAAAATCTTCCTAGTCACGGTGTCTTGTTGAGGACATATGTAGACGGACCTTTTGGTAGTTCGATTCGCGCTCGTTGGGGGAACTACTCGACGGTGCTGATCATCGCTGGTGGCTCAGGAGTGAGCTTCGGTTTGTCTGTGCTACAGTACATATGTATGTGCCTTTCCGGTCGGGACGGGAAGAATTTGGGTGGCCAACCTGGAGGTTGGGGGAAGAAATCATTCCTAACCAAACGAGTACGCTTCGTATGGCTTGTCCGTGAATATTGTAAGTGCTCAAAAACTTTCGTTCGACCATTATAAACTAACCTCACCCTTGTATAGCTCACATACAGTGGTGTGCTTCTATTGTTCGCCGTTGTCTTTCCTTGGTACCATCGTCTGCATTGCAGATCGACATCTTTATCACCAACTTCAAACCCATTGCTCTCAAGAAATCCGATATCCCTCCTTTGCAGGTTCCTCAGCGGCCACTCTTTACTTCTGAGCCCGTTCGTTCTGAGGACCTGCAGCCTCCTCACCCATCGTTTGCACGTGACAGTCCTTCATCGTTCCGCTCTGATTCCAACGACTCCCTTGACAATTCTGATAGTGACGTTGACCTGAGCTACTACACTGGAGAATCTGGGGATCCAATGACACCAGAGGAGGATATTGGCTTGGCGCATGACTCTCACATACTCGAGTTGACCAACTTCGACGGTGACGATGACACTGCTCTGCCAGGGGAACACAATCTGTCCCGCAAGGTGAAGAAGGAAGGCAAGCTGCGACGAGCTCAGTCGCGGAAGTTCTCCGGTGAGAAAACGGTGCGGTTGCTCCAACCTCCCAGTCGTCCTAGCAACATGCAGCTCGCTGCGAATGGAGTATCTGCTATCTCTGCCACCTCAGGACTTTCTACGAACAGACTACTGCCATCATCTATAAATTCGGACAAGAGGTGGTCTGAAATGTCAATGGACACCTTTGCATCTCCAACCTCCATGTGCGGCGATTCACCGACACGCGGTCGGCAGTCGACGTACCATGAGCCTACTTTCTCCCTGAATGGTCGTTCTTCTCAAATGGGTCATGCAGGGCCGTCAACACCCAGGTATTCCACCAGTAGCTGGGAAGGCAAATCAGATGCTGGCAGTTTCCGGGGTCTGTTACCATCTTCCGCACCCAATGGCTCGCTTGATCCGGTCCAGTTTGACATCAGCGAGGAAGAAGCACGGGATATCAATGTTGTTGCAGAGCACGCACGACCTGGTAAACCCAAGCTTGACAGGATACTTGCAGATGAAGTCGAGCAGTCGGAAGGCTCCGTGATGGTTGCTTGTAAGGTCTATCTAGCTGGTTTTTCGACGGTGCTGATTTGTTCTGCTCAGGCTGTGGTCCCACCTCGCTCAACGTGATGGTTCGCAAAATCATTGCCGAACAGATCGATCCTGGGCGGGTCTGGCGAGGTGATATGCGCGGGTCGATATCACTCATTTCCGAGGAATTCGAGTATTGACGATTTACTGTGACATTTTGTTTCACTCTTCATTTCTGACGATTCATCGGGACATTTCATTGTACTCTTCATCAAACAATATTACCCTTACCATGTATCGTTTCCCCGTACATTTTCTCATCTCAGCATTTGTTGTAGTCGTTGTCCGGACATAACATAAGTCCACTAGAATATTTGGTCAATGTATTCCTCGTTGGGTCCGTTGACGTACGTATAAACCCATCAGTTAGATACTCATATTGACAGACGTTTAACTGCTGATGTCAAACGCGCTAGGACGCCTTATACAGGTGGCTTGACGATTCCCTGGCTGATCTTATAATAGACTGTTGACGTGTCTTCCGAGGTAATGACCACATAAATCTCTGAAGGTAAAGGATCAAGGCTGGTAAAAGCAGCGCGAAGCCTAGGGATGCGTTGAACACAGATATATCCAGAGGTGGTCTACCGAACGTACCACGATGTAGATATTGACTCAGACAACGAGCAAGGTACTACAATGCAGATGGACGGCACTCGGTCCGTGTCCTGTCGTGCACATCAATGAATTTCATACGCTGGTGCAGAAAATGCTAACAGGAGTTGGCCGTTTGCCTTTGATCGCGGCTCGTTTGCAAGCTGGAAGGTCGAGAACCTCGACATCGATCCATTTTTGTGCTAAAAGGCGGCCATGTCACCGAATGGATCATAGCCTACAAAGGCTGCGTACCGAGCGTCAGGTCATTGTACACCTGGAACAGCGCGCCTCCGGTTGCAGGATACTTTTCGAGCAGTTGCGAAAGCACCGGGTACTACACGCAAAAAAGGAGTGAGGATCCAGTCTTGTAGCGAACGACTTGTCACTTGCAGATGGATGATTTTGCATGAGAGCAGAATCTTAACTCGGTCAAGGTTACCTTGAACGTAAAAGATCACGCGAATTACGTGGTAGTGCTATGGAAGTCTGCGTCGAGTCATTATGAAGCACTCCAGACAAGATATTCATCTTGGTAATCGTTAGCATCGTGAGGTCTCTACTACTAGTACTCTTTGCTATCGGCAGGCCTCTGCGCCTTGGATTCAGCATTTCAAATCGTCGTCCACAACGATTTGCATTGCAGGTATCACACAAAAGGACCATGTCAGATTCCGTTGGTAGCTCGTCCATCACGGTGCCAGAAGGGTTTACGCTTCACACGGAAAACACGTCCCACATCCTGATCTCATCGAAGGAGGAGGCATTTTTGAATCCAGTTCAGGAATTCAATCGGGATCTCAGTGTCGCGTGCATCAGAGTATGGAGCGAAGAACTGAATAGGGAGAAGGAAGCAAAGTGGAAGCAGGCTCAGGAGAGACGAGCGAAAAGGGAGGCTGAAGGAGAGGTGAAGACGGTGCAGCAGAAGAAGGCAAAAAGTGAGCATCTCTCATGAGGTATTCAAAGTCTTCTCAATGAGCGATTGTTACAAGCGGAATCTACTGAACCGAGCAATGATCTCGATGATGGTTTACCAGGAGATGTATCTACCACCGGAGGTACATCTGAAGGCAACAAACGAGAGGTACTAGTAGGTTACTTCATATTCTGCAATAATGGTTCTGAATCGTTGTCTAAAGTACCGACCCCATAAATTTGTGCTACTCGAAGCATTGTCGGCAACTGGTCTTCGGTCTATCCGCTATGCAAAAGAGATCCCCCTTGTGAGGTCTGTGTCCCAGTTTTGCGTACAAACATACATTTCATCGCCCTTCAAGATTCGTCATTGCGAATGACCTGTCTGCGTCTGCCACGGCTGCCATGAAGAGAAATGTAGAGCTCAATGGTCTTGGACCCTCATATTCTGGTCCAGCTGATAGCGCGTCATCATCTACGGTATCGGAGCACCAGCCTCTCCCTGATCGCGGAAAGGTGAGAATCAACGAGGGCGATGCATGGTAAGTCCTTGATTCTCGAGCTGTAGTTTTGTCTAAGGTACATACTACGTAAGTGCGCTCATGTACAACCATCGCACAGAGAAGACACGTGTCGATGTTGTCGACCTCGATCCATATGGTACTGCTGCCCCCTTTATCGACGGAGCTGTTCAGTGCGTCAACGACGGAGGGAAGTCGCCTACAACTTGAATGTGTGCCTCACGCCAGGGCTTACTTAGGCACCCTACAGGACTTCTATGCGTCACATGCACAGATTTGTCAGTTTTGGCGACGACAAATTACCATGAGAAGTGGTACGTGGGCCGGCTTATAAACTGATAAATGATTGATGGGCTGTGAAGTTTCTCAAATTACGGTGGTATTCCTGTCAAGGCAGAGTACTGCCATGAGGCAGTATGGGCGTCCTCATGATCAAGCCGAACCTCACTGACGTCCCTGAAGGCTCTCAGACTCGTGTTAAACACATTGTCCACCTCGGCAGGCCGATACGGAAGATACATCGAACCGCTCCTGTGTCTATCTATCGATTTTTACGTTCGGCTCTTCGTCCGCATTCACTCCGCGCCGATAGAAGTCAAAAAGACTGCTAGGCAAGTTGCGTCATGCTATGATGTTATCACATCGTCATGCATTTTGTTCCTAGCAAGACAGCAATGTATTTCGTATGTCAAGGCTGTCAGGCTTTCTACGAGCAGCCGTTGGGCCGGACCGTGGAAAAAGTCCACGAACGTTCCGGCAACGTAAACCTCTTGTTCAAGACTCAAGCGGGCCCCCCTGTCCCACAAAAATGTACCGAGTGTGGTTCTGCGTTGCATGTGAGTAGAACAAATCAACTCGGATCGAGGGTAACGAGTCATGTTCGTGGCAGGTTGCGGGTCCAATGTGGTCCGGTTCATTACACAATAATGGTTTCATCTCAAAAGTGCTTGAGCACTTGGGGAGTAACCAAGACAGATATGGCACAGCGGTCCGCATGAAAGGAATGCTAACGGTGGCCAACGAGGTACGATCTGAACTATATCTACACCGCAGACAACCAATCTCTGCCCTTTTAGGAGTTGCACGTCCCATTCTACTTTACCCCATCTCGGATAGCTGGCTACTTTCACTCTGTTTGTCCCCCTTTGGATGATGTGGCGTATGTCGTTATCTCTGAAATGAAAACACTCATGCGCTGAAACTTCATTTTAGCTCTGCTCTCCTGAATGCCGGTCACACCGTATCGCGTTCACACGCCCTACCAGGCTCTCTGAAGACTGATGCGACGCGTCAAGATGTGCACGACGTCTTCAGGTCTTGGGTGAAGAAGCACCCCGTGAGAATGGACAAGGTCTCTGAGACCTCTCTCGCGAGGCAATTACTCGCAAAGGAAGCAAGGTAAGTACCAGTTCTAAGAAACAGACTTTGCCAGCTGATCACAAACTGCATGTAGGACGGAGGCCAATTTCACCAGACACCCTCGATCAGTGACGCAAGCATCAAAAGTAAAACTCGTCCGCTACCAGCAGAACCCAGCTCCCAATTGGGGCCCCGGTACGAAAGCAGACACCGGTACGAAGCGCAAACGCGAAGAGGAAAATCAATAGCGTAAATCAATATCAACCTAGTGTGTACCCATCGGTACAACAAATATGCAATTGTAACAAGGTACATGCGTGCGAGTATGGTAATGCCAATAACGTTAAGTAAACATCCCAACAGAGAGAGAGAAGGAGAAATGTAGATGTGGGATATCATGCCGAGATCTCGATAGTTGGAATAGACTTGAGTGCTGCATTCTTGCTCGAAAATCCTGCGTGCTTCTTGACGGCAACCCAAGGGTGCTGAAGCAGCTCACCAGCGCTTGGACGAGCTGAATGATCGAGATCAAAAGTCTTCGTAAGAAAGTCCTGAGCCTCTGAAGAAATATCTGATGGTATAGCAGGTTTAGCGGATTGGCCGATCTGCAAAAACGTCCATAAGAGTACGACCGACCCAAAAAAAACACCAACCTTGAAAATCGCTTGCATCTGAGTCAGTTGCGCCCATGGGTGTTCCCCAGTCAACATCTCGACAACTAAGCATCCCACACTCCAGATATCAGCAGCCGAAGTATGCGCGGTCTGCTTCACGACTTCAGGTGCCATCCAGAACACTGATCCTTGCAATGATGGGCGATTCATCCTTTTGCCTGTGAGAAGGTCTGACAAACCACATGCATGTCAATGTGAAACGCCGCATGCCAAGATGAAGCTACTTTTACTCACTGCCGTCAACTTTCTTCGAGATGCCAAAGTCTGAGATTTTGATGCCGCCTTTGTTGTCAACGAGGATATTTGCTCCTTTAATATCACGATGTATGATGTCGCGTTCGTGAAGGTAGTTAAGGCCTTGTAAGATTTGTCGTACAAAGTTTTTGACGAGAGGTTCCTCGAAAGCGCCGTAGCTACGCAACAATGCAGTGACAGAACCTCCAGGAACGTATTCCAGGAAGATGTTGAGAAAATCGTCGTCGAGTGAGGAATCTTTGTTTTTCCGTGGGTGAGTTTTTCGATCGTATTTGAAATAGCGTGGAATGCGCGGACTTACAGAGGTACTGGACAATATTTGGGTGGGATAGATCTTTGAGAAGGTCGATCTCTCGTTCCAATGCGCTAAGCATATTTTTCTTCCGCTCCTCATTTGGAGCTGAGCCCCTTGGCAGCTCGACTTGCTTCACTGCCATCAGAAGACCGTTTACAGCATCCATACCCAAATAGACTTTCCCAAATGACCCTGCACCGATGAGTGCGCCTTTAATCCACTTGCCTAAAAAAACTCTGAAGTTAGCGCACATACATTCAAAATTATTTTCAACTTACCACCGCTAGAGTTCATAGCCTGACCAGTTTCGTCTTCCTCCTCAACTTCCTCACTCTCATCTTCATCATCTTCATCGTCCTCGAGCACGGCATCACCCTCCGAAAAACTGATAACATCATCGATATCAGGCTCCACCTTCGTCCAGTCTTCAGCCCCCTCAACACCCATATCAACCGCCATACTCTGTCTCCGATTTTCTACTTCAGCAGTGATCTCATCCACAGTCAATAAGCTGGCAGTATCTGACCGATCACGCTTGCTCCTCAACTCAGTCATGAAACTCATCCGTTTAGACGCATTCGAATTCGACCTCGGGCGCAGAGGACCTGTAAGGTCTTCCATAGACTCTGAAAGTGATATCGAAGGGAACGTCACAGGAGGGAGTAATTGCGGTTTCGAGTCAAACGAAGAGAGCTTCTCAACATCATCTCCAGTCAGGATCACCGATCGCCCGTCTTCAGTGGATATCGATACTCGTGGGGGGTCCTCACCAATCGAAGGTGCTGCCAAAGACCGGGTGTCTGGTATCGTGGAACTAGTAGAGATGGTAGAGTTCCGTTTGGAAGATATTGTTCGTGAGGGCGACATCGAGCGCTGTGCTGATCCTGAACCCTGCGTGCTGGTGCTGAATCGCGAAGGAAGAGGTGGTGGATTGAGGGATAGCATGCTGTCCCTCTTCTCCCCACTCACGCTCGAAGCCCGGAGCATCATACTGTGCCGTGCATTCCGCAACATCTTCCTGTCTGTGAACGGGAAGTATTCCGTCAAGTGCGTTGTGATCAACTCGCTCGGCGGGCGCTGGCCGAAGAAATTGCGGAGCTTTGAAGGCTTCTTGGCGGAATTTACGGGTGGGAGCGGATGTTTCGGGTGGCTTTGGGTAGGCGATGCACTAGGGTCGAGAGCTTTTTCCGGGTCGCGCACGCCAAGGCCGCTGAGGACGCTGATAGTACTTGCCCGTTTGATTGCGCGTGCTTTCTGGCCCTGCGAATCATCGATATTTAGGATCATGCCAGGATCAGGTTCATGGTCGGATTCGGATGGCCGTGGTTGGATGCTGGGGGAGGTAGGACTGATATTCCGGGGAGGGTTCTCCCCAAATATTCGCTGGAGATCTTTTGAACGTTTTGTACGCCCGCTTTTGCGGAGCGTTAGGCCGCGTCCTTTAACAGGGTCATCGGAGGCGCTGTGGCACACTGCTAGGAGTTCTGCTTCGGAGAGTGGTTTGCCTGTCCACAAATGTTAGAGTGCGAGATTTTAAATAAGAGAGGAATCAAACCCGAGTCATTTGTTTCGTCCCACTCTAGATATACAGACCATCCGTCTACGCTGAGTCCACCATCATCGGTCTCGACGCGGCTCATGACGTCGTTCCTCCTCGACGAGCCCACCTTGTCAGCTTTCTTGAGCACCTTCTCCATGACCTCTATACCGCCCGCACAATCAGCGACATCAACTGTATAATACCGCTGTTCTTCTGGCATGGAAAATCTAACGAGTTTACGACGGGAGGTATCCGATGGGGTATTATGAGCGGAAGGATTGAACGGACCGCGTCCGACTGCGAATGCAGGGGGTGAGGAGGATCCTGATGACGAAGCTGATGTTTGCCCCTGGAACGACTCCACGATCGGGGAAAGGGCCAACCCATTCTGAGCGGGGGCCTGTAAAGATGGGGGGGCTTGGGCAGATGCATAGGGATGGGCACTGGTTCCAGTCGTGGAAGGCCTAGGAGGAAGTTTTGAATTCGTGGGGGTAGGTGCAAGAGGGGAAGGGACGCCATTAAAAGAGATGTTCCTGTTATGTGCGACGTTGATGGAACGTGGAGATGATCGCGAGCTCAGGGGAGAGGGTGATTTGATTGGGGATGGACCTGATCGAGGATCTGGGGGGAGACCAAATGACCAGCTGTTTGATTGAGATGGGGTTGTGAGCATGTTTGAGGGGGTGGGCGTTGGTGCTGGTGGAAGGGGTGAGTTGGCATAGTTGGTTGCGTCTGGTTGGTTAGGGGTGCGAATGCGTGGGCCGGTGACGGAATGGAGAGTGCGGGAGGTTCCGCGTGGGGGCTGAGGTGGTTGACCTCTTGGTGCGGGAGGAAGGGGTGGCAAGGATGGACGGGGAGTGTAGCTGGTTGGTGTTGTCGACTGGCTGATTTGGGGAAGTGGACGGATTGTGGAAGGGTTACGTATAGAGTCGCCAGACTGAGGTTCCCGAATGATGCGGGGAAGATCCGGGCGTCCTGAAGTTGGAGATAGTACCAATGGAGCAGGCCTGTTGCTATCGAGACGCTTGTGGGATGTGCGAGAGGTCGGTGAGGGCTCTCTAGAAGTGGATAGCTCTTGGGAGCTAGTGCGTGAATGGGAATGTTCAGCTGGAGGTTCCCTTGAAGATTCTGGAGGAAGAGAAGCCAAGAAGGCCCTGGTATGGGCGATAGCAGAGAGAGAAGATGTAGCGCGCTGTGAACACTTTGACCTCAAACTCTTGACTCCGTTGACGATGCGAAGCCTGTCTCCGATACTGGAGATACCCATCTCTTTAAGAGTGTCCTGGTCTAGCTCTAACAGAATATCACCACGAATGTCATTATTCTTGAAGGCGGGGATATGTGCACTACATTTATTATCTGCGAGCCATCGAGCGACGTGGACGTCATTCCAGGTGCGCATGAAATCTGAAAATGTGGTACCGTGAGGCGGGTCTAGTATGGAGTTAGTTGACATTGATGAAGTGAGAGTGATGAAGGAGCGGGAATCTGAGCGAGATTTGATGTCTGTAGTGGTGGCAGCCATCAGTATGAGGCCTGTGCCGACTGAAAATTGGTAGCGCTAGCACTGTGGATAAGCAGTACAGAACGGCGTACTCTAGCTGTGCTAGTACCGCGTAGTGAAGCGCTCTCACTGCAGTGGTTAATGTCTCATTTTTTTTTGTAGGAGCGTGGGATATGTTAGGATGATTAGTTACTTAACATATATAATTTTTGATTTTCACACAGTTGATGTCTCGGCATGTCAATACAGTTGTACGGCCACTCAAGGTGGTAGTAGGCACATACATGCACTTCGGATCGGTCACTACGCGTTTATTAGAACCTTGGCGTGATCGACCTAACCATGTACCTGACCGAACCGAACGAACCAGTCTGATTGACCCAGGCCTGCCTGTCACGGGGGCAGTGCGTGGACCTTCTTCGGATTCTTCAAACTTCTCGTATGTATAACGTATTTTTCCCCCTTCTTTTCTACGTTCACTGTCTCTTCCTGGAACCCCCGACTGGAAATCTCCATCCCTGTCAAATAATATCATTTTCTCCACCGTTCCTCTCCTTCAAGTGATCCAAGATGCGGTTCCTAACCGCCCTTGCTTCATCACTATGTTTTTCTTCAATGACATACGCTTCCCCTTATCGTCCAGACCTCACATCCTACAACCTCAATGGAAACCAATCCGCTCAGTCCCCTACAGATTATGCAACCACGAGATCAAACACCACCTACACCCCTTCTCCACAGAACTGGCGTTCAATTCCAGTATACACAGTCCTTATGGACAAGTTTGCTGATGGTGACCCTACAAACAATCAGTTCTTTGGCTCACCATACGAATGGGATTGGAGAGAAACCCAACTTCGTTTCGGCGGTGACCTCAAAGGAATAACCTCAAAGCTGGACTACATCCAAGGTATGGGTGTGAAGGCCATATATCTCTCAGGTACAATATTCTTGAACATGATATGGCAAGCCGATAGTATGTCCTTATCTCAATCTCATTTACTACTCATACTCACTTTTTTTTAGGTTATTCTCCTCTCGACTTCTCCGTATTGGATCCTCATTGGGGTACTATTGATGATTGGGTAAACTTCGTCGACACAGTACATGCACGCGGCATGTATATCATGTTGGATTTCACAGTCGGAACATTGTCCGACCTTATCGGCTTTGAAGGGTTTGTTCTCCCTATCCACCAATTACAATTACCACTCACTCACACCCACCAGTTTTCTCAATGTCAGCGCCCCATTCACTCTCAATGAATATGATGCAATCTACAAAAACCCAAATTACCTCCCCTGGGGTTTTGAGGAGTATGTTGATTTTTCCGTAAGTAGTTATTTTCGTTCGCCTCGTGCCTGAACCCCCTCTCAACTATCTTTTTTTCCTCTAGGTCATCAATGTCCGTAACACCTCTTGTCAACTTCCCGTCTTTTGGCAAGACGATGGAACAATTCAGCCTGTAACGGGCAATGATGGTTGTTATGAGTCCGACTTTGATCATTATGGTGATATGGAAGCCTTTGGTGTACACCCTGACTGGCAGCGTGAACTTTCCAAATTTGCATCCGTACAGGACCGTCTCCGCGAATGGAAACCTAGTGTTATGGATAAACTCACTACCTTTTCCTGCATGACTATCACAGCCCTTGATATCGATGCCATTCGTGTCGACAAGTCCACACAGCTCACCGTCGATGGCATGACCGCTTGGGCGTCTGCAACTCGTGCTTGCGCCACTAATCTTGGAAAGAAGAATTTCTATATCACCGGTGAAGTCACTGGCGGTGACACCTTTGGGTCCCTATACATGTCAGTCGCTATTCCACTCATCACCCACATCAACTGATTGCCTTTACAGGGGACGTGGCCGTACCCCAACTATGCTGCCCCCCGGATTCCTCCAGGCAGCTAACTTGACAGAATCCCAAAACCAGTATTTCATGCGCCCACAACCGTCAAATGGCCTCGACGGCTACGCGTTCCATTACTCAATTTACCGCGCCCTCACCCGTTTCCTCGGAATGGATGGAAACTTGGCCGTCGCGTACGATCTCAACATTAACTTTGTCACTGCTTGGAACCAGATGTTCGTGAACAACGACTTCTTGAATCCAAACACCGGCCTCTTTGATCCGAAGCATATGTTCGGAACAAGCAATTTCGATGTTTTCCGCTGGCCCAGTTTGGCGAATGGCACATTGAGATCTGCATTGGCATCTTATATCACGTACCTGGTTATGCCAGGGGTTCCATTGGTAAGAGCTATACTCGAACGTTTGTCGCTGCAGTACTTAGCTTTTATAGATCTATTATGGCGAGGAGCAGAATTTCTATCTATACGACTCCACAGCTTCAAACTATCTCTTCGGGTGGGTCACTCTCGCCTCTAAGTGATTACTTTTCTCACACTGCTATTCTCAGACGTCAAGCTATGATGAGCAACAAGGCATGGCAGCGCCACGGGTGCTACAGACTTGGATCTGCTCAATACTTTAACATGCCGCTTGACCCCGCCTTAACGGGATGTGACGACGATTGGAACTCGCTCGATCATTTTGATCCCACGACGGACATGCATCGCCTTGTGAAACATTTCTTGAGCCTCCGAACCACCTACAACGCCCTCCAAGACGGCTTCGACCTCGTACAGCGTGGAAACTGGACCTACTTCGTTGAGTTCCCAGGTTCGAACGACACCGCAACCGAAATGGGCCTCTGGTCCGTATCACGTGCAGGTATCCAGAATGTACAAAACCTCACGGGGAACCACACCGATCAGATCTGGCTATTGTACTCCAATCTGAACCACTCAGAGACGTTTTCGTATGATTGCGGCGGTCCATTGTGGATATCGTCGCCCTATGTGGGTGGCACGACAGTGAGGAACTTACTTTCTCCGTACGAGAACTATTCGCTCGTGGACTCGGGATCGTCGTATTATGGTAACGGATCGGCACCGTGGTATGGATGTCTCCAGACGGTGGACATAGACACGTTTGGTTTCAAGGCTTTGGTCCCTATCACCGAGTGGGTCGCTGCTCCCCCTATGCTCACCAAGTTCCTGCCTGGACATGATGCGCGCATCGAAGTCACGCGGGGGGAGCCAAACGCCACGATTGTGGACCTCGTGCTGGAGTTCAATGTGGCAATGTCATGTGATAGCGTCACGCAGAGTTTATCGTTCAACGTGTCGTCTTCTGGCATCGGTGGGCAGCCTACGCTCAACCTAACTTCGGTGGTGTGCAATGCTGTCACGAATCCCACCATATCGCCCATTGTGGGAACTCCGTACTCGCAGTGGTCGTGGTCTGGTACACTGACCAATGTTTCGGATGGGATTTTGGAGATTATTGTTAATAATCCAACATCGTTCGACGGGACTCTGTCTACTGGGGTATGTTTATTTTATCACTACTCTGTCGTGTTTTGTTCATGGTTTGTAGAGCGTAGACCATCTACTGCTGCGCAAGGGCGAAGCGAACAATGTCATGGTGTTCCCCGAGTCCGATTATGCTAGCCCAGATTTCAAGTACACTGACGGCCAGTATACATTTACGCACCGTGCCTATGGGGCAGATATGTTCAGGTACTCGGGCGACTACACACTAAGTTGGTCTAATTGGACGAGCTGGGAGAATGTTACGACCATACCGGCGGACGTCCTTACTAATTCTGGTACTTTCTGGACGGGACAACATCTCATAGTACAATGTGAGCATTCGTAGTGCTACTGCTTTTTCTGGTGTTGATGTTGCAGTAGATTGGAGTAGTATGGCGACGACATCCAGCGTCGTCGTGCATGCAGATCTGAACTTCAAGCAGCAGCGTCGCGTTCCCCAGTTCCTCGCTCGAGGTCCTTTCAACGACTGGGGTTATGACCAGGGTATCTCCAATGCGATGGACCTAGTAAGCGATGGCACTTGGGAGCTCGAAATCATGGCTGCGTGGCCAACGTACCTGCAACTCAACGTGTTTGGGTACGATGACTACTACTACGGCGACGTGGATGCGGACGGCGTTATGGATCGGCTACCACCAAACAGCATTGCACCCAACTACCTGAACTTGTCGGCGCCCCCTTATCCTGCGCTCGCGTGGGCACTCGTCGTTGATGATGCCACGTTGGCGTGGACCCTTGAGCCTCGTGGCCAGGCTTCTGTCGGCGCTATCATGTACGGGCTTCTCTGCTGTATCTCCCTCATTTCCGGAGTTCTCGCAGTTGTCATTTTCATGTACTCGTTCTACGGCATCCGCCACAACCGGTACGGTGTGCAGGCGAATTCCGGTGCAAGCAAGTATTTCCCTATCATCGGATCGCTCGGCAACAAGTCGACCGCAGACTTCAAGGAGAGCGTGACGCCCATCACGGAGAAGTTCTTTAGGCACAAACAGAATGCGGATGTCATAGGATGGCCAGAGGACAAGAACAAGCGGCGCAAAGTCCTCATCGCGACGCTCGAGTATGAGATCATTGACTGGAAACTCAAAGTCAAGATCGGAGGTCTCGGTGTGATGTCATCGCTCATGGGAAAAGCCATGACGGACGTTGACTTGATCTGGGTCATTCCTAAAGTCAAGGATCTGGAATATCCCGCTGGTGTACCTGCGGAGCCTATCGAGGTTATTATCTTCAATGAGCCTTACCTTATCGAAGTGGAGACGCACGTGTTGGACAATATCACCTATGTTATCCTCGACAGCCCCGTTTTCCGTGCACAGACCAAATCGGACCCGTACCCAGCTCGCATGGACGACCTCAGTTCCGCCATCTTCTACTCTACATGGAACCAGGCCATTGCAACCACCATCCGCCGATTCCCCGTCATCGACATATACCACGTCAACGACTACCATGGCGCGCTTGCTCCGATCTACCTCCTGCCCAAAGTAATACCCGTTTGTCTCTCGCTGCATAATGCCGAGTTCCAGGGTCTATGGCCACTCCGGACAAAGGAAGAAATGAAAGAAGTTTGCTCCGCATTTAACATCAGCAAAGAGCACTGCACGAAATACGT